TGGTTCAGGTCATGATCTCACGGTTCATGGGTTTGAGTCCTTTGTTGGGCTCTGTGCTGACAGCTCAGAGCCTGGAGCCTGCTTTGGATTCTGTGTCTCCCTCTCTCTTTGCCCTTTCCCTGCTTGTGCTCTCTCTCTCTTTCTCTCTCTCTCAAAAATAAACACCCAAAAATTTTTTTAAAAATGAAAGAAGGAAAATGAGATTTCCTTAAAGTATTTCAAGTAAATAGTGACTCCATTGGGCTAGCATTTTGCACGGATCACTATGATGTCCACATAGGGGATGAAACCACAGAAAATTGGCAACCCATGAAGATTCTATTCAAACAATACAAATGACCGTGGTAGTGGTCTAACCCAAGATGGTAGAAATATTAGATGAAAATGGATTCAACCTTCAAGAGATATTTAAAAGGTAGAATAAACAGAACTTGATAATTGATTGGATGTCATGATGGTGGGATGAAGCATGAGGAAAAGAATCAAGTCAATATGACTCCCAAATACGAGACTTCATCCCATTATATGGAATATAGAACTAGATGTAAATTTGGTCACAGAGGGGGAGAGGGGAAAAGGTAAGTTCAGTTGGTGATATTGAGTTTGAAGTGTAAGAAATGGAACATTCAAGTAGAAGGAGGTAGGTGTAAAATTCTGAGAAAGGTGGGAATATAAAATATGAAAATAAAAATAAAATATTGTTGAGGCACCTGGGTGGCTCAGTCAGTTAAGCCTCCGACTTCGGCTCAGGTCATAATCTCATAGTTCATGAGTTTGAGCCCCGCATTGGGCTCTCTGCTGTCAGCACAGAGCCCACTTCAGATCCTCTCTCCCCTCTCTCTCTCTCTGCCCCTCCCCAGCTTGCAACCTCACTCTCTCTCAAACTAAACATTTAAAAAATAATAATAAAATAAAATACTGTCTAAAAATAGCAGAGGATAACACAGAATTGTAAGAAGGAACTTGGTAATTGTATAAAATGCCTTTGATAGGTCAAGGTCTTTTCCTTGGTTAGAAGACATAAACCCAGGGAAACTTTTGCTTTTATTCTGGGAACTCACTTGACAATCTAACCTCTGGCCAAAATGGGATGCTCCTTGTCAATAATCTGGAGTTAGAAATCCCAGGTAGCAATGGGCACACAAAGTTAGAAAGGCATGGGGCAGATTCCTCAGCCTTGGTCCTGAGGAACCTGGGTTCCTTTGTGGTTGTTGGGAATGGAGACTCGACTTCTTTGAGGGGCTTTGAGGTCATCTCTCTAGGAAGGGAGTTGGCCATTTGGCCTTCATCCTCCTAATGGGGCCACTGGATGTGGTCTTGACTCTTCTTGGGTTTGATCAGACGGCAGACCAGGCTGCATTATATCAAGAAGGGTCTAACGTTTAGAAACCTGCCCCCCTCCCAGGCAAAAATAAGTCATCTGTTCTTGAAAAATAAATTACTAAAAGTCAATCATATACTTCTAATTTAAACATAATGCTGGTGACTAGAATTAAGTGCTATATCTTGATTAATTCCACTAGACTGATTTATGTCTAAGGCTCATAGGCTTCAATTGCTTTAGTGGACAATCCAGTGATCAAAGAAAGTCATTACAAAGTAGTATCTCTTTTTGTAGGGTTGTGGGGTAGCTGGGGTGGACCTAGGCCCCAGGTAAAAAGTATTGACTCAAGAATCGCTTAATGAGGCAGAGGCCCAATAAATTTAAACACAGATGGAGTTTGAAATCTTTGAATTTTTTAATATGTTCCATTTTTTTGTTTATAATGCCAATAAAACACTCATTGTTTTTGGATAGTAACTCTCTTTGCATTATTTACTACTATGAAATGGCTTAGTATTTGCATTTGGAAAGGAGCCTTTGAATCTCTTGAAATTAAAAACTTAAATCATTTGTATGTTAAATAATACAAATGACTAAATGGGTTTAGAATTCAGACTAAAATATATCTTGCATTATTGCATGGTAACTTTGAAGTTGTGACACTGTTGTTATTGCCATGGAAATTTATATTCTATCATAGTTGTTCTGATTTTACATGATAGGATGAAAAGAAGCCGTGCATTTCTAGCATCTATCCAGAAGGAAGGAAAGAACATATATTCTCTGACTACAGGAATCTTTACGCTTTGATTTCTGAAATAAAATTCTCATTTTGTCTCGAATCCTTTGTTTTTCTCCAGTTGCACTCATACATAACATCTGGCATGTGTTAGACCCTCAAACATATATTTCCTTGTTTGTACTTCATTTGAGTATCACTATTTAATGGGGGAATAGTCAGAAATGCATGCCAGTTTTTCTCATACAAGCAGAATACTGAGGCAAATTATTCAAATATTTTGATGCAATGAGCCAGATGATTGCAATTTTAAACTAATTATTTCCACTCATTTCTTCACTTTAGTTGGGTAGTCTAAATTCCTGTTTCAAATGCACAGCTTTTGCCTTCTTAGAAAGTTGCCATTTTGAGTGATTTTTAATCTTGACTTCCCATTTCACTTCCATTTACCATTTTCACCTTGGGAACTTAGATTTTAATACCGTTTCCACAGTGACAAGCTTCGAGCTAATCATGGCCCTGGGAATTGAGTTCTCAAGTGTGTATACAAGCCCCTTGAGTCTCGGTTCCCAGCGTAGACTGTTGGCTCCAAAAACTGCCCGTGGGGACCAGGAGCAGTGCCTGCCTGCTCACCCTGCCTGACAAACACTGGGGGTGAGCCAAAATCAGTGGTTCCTAATCAGCATTTGCAGGAACTGAGGAACCCATCTTTGGTCTTGCAAAGCAAGAGGAGTTAAGTCTCTGGTGCAATGTCCCCTATCTGTCAGTGGTTTCCACAGCCTTCCAGAGGCAAAAGGAATCTGTTGGAAAAAGGAAGCCTCTGTTTCTCAGAACCACCAGGTGGACTGAGTTTTTCTTATCTCTTGGATTTTCCATGAGGCATGTTTCCATAGAACATAAAAGATGCTTGAAAGTATGTTTCCCTCAATACTGCATTTCCAAATCCTGCTCATCCTACTGAGTTGAGCTCAAGTCTTACTTTTGTGCATTAAATTATGCTGTTGAAAAGAGTTTAGAGAGAATAATATAGCAAGCAATTATACACTATTTGATGGGTTTTATTTCATTAAAAAAAAAAAGCATCACTGATGGTGTTGATGTAGCTTTTCTACCTACCCCCAACATAATTCTCCTTTCCCTCTCCTCAGAAGCAAGTTGTACCTTATCGTTGGGATATTAGCTGAAGTTTTTAAATGGTTCTGCCCTTTTCTGGATCCTAGTTTTTTGCAAGTCCTGTTTCAGCCCCCTCAGTGACCAACTTCTATGGCCCCTGACCCTATGCAAGCATTAAAAGATACTAAGGTGTGGGTGCCTGACTAGCTCAGTCAGTTGAGTGTCTGACTCTTGATTTCCAGCTTAGGTCATGATCCCAGGATCATGGGATTGGGCTCTTTGCTGAGCATGGAGGCTGCTTAGATTCTCTTCTCTCTCTCTCTCTGCCCTTCTCTCCCATTTGTGTTCTCTCTCTCCCTCTAAAATTAAAAAAAATAATAATTTAATTAAATTAAGAAAGAAAAAAAAAAGATCCTAAGGTGTAAAAGCAGTCTAAGGCTTTAGCTGGGTTCACCATTTTGACTGGGAACCATTCATGTCTTTTGACCTCCCCAACTCCCTCTGATTCTTGTAGCATTGAGCATTTGGTTCAGTTTCCAATCACTTATTTTGTACTAACTTTATGTATAGAAGCTGTATTCTTTCCTTAAAAAAGGATAAATTCTCGGCTGAGCACTTGACCTTGGCTCAGGTCAAGATCTCACTGTTCGGGAGTTCGAGCACTGCGTCAGCCTCACTGCTATCAGGCAGAGCCTGCTTAGGATCCTCGATCTCCTTCTCTCTCTGCTCCTCCCCTGCTCATGCTCTCTCTCCCTCTCTCTCAAAAATACATAAACATTTTTAAAAAGACAATAAATTCTTGAAAGCGTTCCATTCTCCTTTTACAACAAACTGTGAAAAGGTCCTCTAAGAATGTTTATACTATAGTAGATTATGCGTGTAAGCCAATCTCTTTATCACAGAAGTGCACACATAGAGGTGTGTTTCGCTTTAGAGAATAGATGACATTGCAACCATCCAACAGCTATTTTATAACCTGCTATTGTCAATTTAATGAAATAAGCGTTATAAAATATAAGAAATGCATAAAGAGTTGGTTTCCCCGTCTTGCAAAATATCTATCTCAAATGATGTTGATACATTTTTGAAAATACTTCGTTAACTAGTTCACAATTTTATTGTTCATACTTTAAATGTAGTAACAGCACCCATGGCTTAAACAAAGACTATACTATTATTTTTGTAACTTGATTTCTATTTTAGGACTTTTTAAATATTTAGGTTTCCTCCCACCAAATAACCTGAAAATTAAAAGTGTTTGCCCAAACAAATGAGTAACAGTTGTTTATCTTAGACCAAATTGTGAGTACCATTGGCTTCTTTACCAGAGTTTGAAGATGCATTATTACACCCTGTTCTTTTGCCTTGCACTGGCAGCGGCATCACTACATAAAAAACTGCCAAGTCTAGCATCATGGAACTTAACACAGCATGTGACTGTGTGTGAACACAAATTAAAGATGTCCTAGGGCTTGGATTACTGAAATGTACTTGGCCATCTATTCCAGTCTGGCATTTGGCCTTAAGCTAAAGACCAACCCACATTTCAGTGAAATTCCTTATGAAATGATTATTCACTGGTATTATTTATTTTACCCAGATAAATTGCACCATATTTTTAACTAACATCATTTAAAATTTCACATAAAATGTCCCTATAATTTTATCTCCACTAAAAAAGCAATAAAACACCATGCATAGGAATTTCTCAGTCACAGAAATTGTCGCGGTCAGCCATCAGTCGGGCACTGAATGTGGAACCAAAGATTTACTATAATTTTGATTTCTTTCTTTCTTTTTTTTTTTTTTTTTGCTATTTTTCAGACCCTGCAAATGGATGTAAACAGGCTGAACATAACCTTGCTTCGGATATTCCGCCAAGGAGTGGCTGCAGCTTTAGGACTCTTACCCCAGCAAGTGCACATCAATCGCCTCATTGTAAGATGCCCACATTTTGCATTCCCAGAGTACAAACTTTGATCTTTATTGAAGGCTTCCGTAATAAAGAACACCCATGCTACAGTTTTATGGGCCATGAGCCAAATCTGACCTACCACCTGTTTTTGCAAGGAAAGTGTTAAAGGAGCAAGCCACACCCATTTGTTTACATATTGTCTAGGGCTGCTTTCATGCTACAATGGTGGAGTTGAGTAGCTGGCTAAATTGAAAGCTCAAATATTTGGCTAGTTGGCCCTTTGCAGAAAAAGTCTGTCAATTCCCTGATAGTTCAAGGCTAGCTACTATCCCGATAGGTATGAATAGAGGGGCAAAAATACCAACCTAACACTACTCCCAAAATATTCTCCCTAAGAGTGAAAGCTGTGACATCAGTTAAGACACCGTCTCCAGACAGTATCTATTAAAACCTTTCAAGTAAATCAGGATGAAGGATACTGAGTGCACAAAGCAGAGGATTTCGAATAACGGATAAAGAAGACCCAACCCTTCAGGACAGCAGCACAAATTGAATGCAAGAATATATAAGGCTGGAAAGTCACTAGAAAACCTAGATGGGGATCTGGGGTGGGGATGAGGTAAAACCGAAGGACCTTTTGTAGAGGGCCCCCTTCCAACCTATCTATCAATCACCCACACCCTTTCTTTCCCCCTTTCTTCAGTGTATGGGAACCTTGATGTCATCCAGCTACATGTTCCCATCTGCACCTGAAGGTGGGTGTGAGCAAAGGCAAAGAAAGGCAAATTCAAATCATAGGGTTTTCTCTTTGTAAAAAGCTGATTACCTAAGATTCCTGTGGAAAGGGGCTTCGGGAGCACCTCACATCTTACTGCACATTCCCCTCCTGTAAATTCTTATGCTCCTACCTGGGCTTATCTGTCTATTGCATCAATATCTGTATTTTCAGCTATGGGGAAGAATTTGCTTTTTATTTTGGTTTAGAGTTTTTGTTTCTTTGCATTTTTTCCATGTGTGGAGACTGAGTTGTTTCAGACCCCATAATAACGTTTATTCTGTGAGTCACCTATTTCCTGGGACTAAATAAGCTTTAAACAACAACAACAACAAAAACCCAACCATAGTTCTTAACACAGTACCATTTAAGAGAAAATACAACATTCCCCAATATCCTGAAAGAATTAAAATTCGTCTTTATATCCAAGGCATAGCTGGCTCAAGTGAGGAAACTTAGGTATTACAGATGTCTTAGATCTAGACCTAAATATTTATGTATACCTATGTATCTTACATATACTTTTGTATGTATAGATTTAATGAGCATAATAGCTCTTTGCAGGGATGAAAAATAGTTTTCCCACACCCAGGGATGTATATGCTTATCCTCAGAGAATGTTAGTGGCATTTCTATATGTCTCCCTCTCTCTCTCTTTTTTTTCCCCTTTTTTTGAAGAGAGTGTGAGTGAGGGAGAGGGGCACAGAGAGAAAGAGAGAATCTTAAGCAGGCTCCATGCTCAGTGTGGAGCCCGACGTGGGGCTTGATCCCACGACCCTACGATCACCACCTGAGCTAAAATCGAGTCGGATCCTCAACCGATTGGGCCCCCAGGTGTCCCTATATATGCCTATTTCTAAGAGCAGTTATTATAACAGATGGAGCTGGGATGATGCCGGAGGCAATAGAGCATGGTGATGAAGAGAGATTGCTTTGGAGGCGGGTAGGCAGAACCGGACTCCATTTCAGGCTCACCGTGTCCCAGCTGTGTGACCTTCGGCAAGCCACTTATGTTTCTTCGTTTGCAAAATGGAGACTATAATACCTATGCCCCTGGAGGTGTTTTGAGCATTAAATGAGATAACAGATTTAAGGTGCCTAGGAGTGTGTCAGGCATAAAACAAGTGATCTGTTCCGACCATTGTTGTTATTAGGTCAGAAACTGTTTACCATAAACGTGTTTCACGTCGACATTATGCTATATTTAGTCTTTGTCTGATGTCTCCTGCAAACATGGAAACGTTTTTCTGGGTCGCCAGGGGGACACCGATCCTGCATTTTAGTATATGTGCTGCCGAAGTGAGCATGACACTGCATTTTATACCTGGCTGAACTTTTGATAAATTGCACCGAAAGAACATTTTCTAGCATGAGTGAACTCCATGTATCAAAAAGAAAAGCCTAACAACAATTCCCTCTATAAGTGCATTGTATAAGTTGTGAAAGAGAATCTATCAGTGACAATGTCATTTTTGTGTGGTGTTTGGTTTGTGTGTGCATGTGGCATATCAGCCATTTACAGTAAGAAATATTCTGTTTCCATGTCAGCTAATGAGGTAATGCTAATAGGAAAGTATCATGATATTACTGCACAGCATATGCATTGCAACCAAGGGTAGATTTTAAGAGTATAATATATTTGAGGTGAAGGACAGGATCAGGGAAATAACTTCAAAGTTTATCTAACACCATCTTCTTTAGTTAGTTCAGCCTTCACATTAATACACGTTATAAGAAAAATATATGGAGTGGTGATATCTAATAATTGTGCTATTATATCAGGTTTTATTTAATTCATTTGATTAAAAAAATTTAAGTTTACTTATTTATTTTGAGAGAGAGAGCAAGTAGGGTAGGGGCAGAGAGAGGGGAAGGACAGATCATCTCAAGCAGGTGTCACACTGTCAGCACAAAGACTGATGCAGGGCTCTAACTCATGAATCATGAGATCATGACCTGAGCTGAAATCAAGAGTGGGACGCTTAACCGACTCAGCCACCCAGGGGTCCCTAATTCATGGATTTTAAAATTTATCTTTAAACACAAAGTACTCCAGGAATGTCTGAACAATATATTTAATTAAACCAGCATCCAATGAAATATAAAGTTACGAATCTTGACATGTCAACTAATTGAAAGAAGGCCATTGGAAGATCTCAGGCTTTGGGCTGGTAATACTGAGTGTACAGATAACTAATAACTGTGATTGCCAAGACACCTTTGGACATTCTAGGGTTCTAATTTTCTTTAATGTTTCAAGAGGGAAGGTGAAAATATTTCCCAAAGCTGTTGAAAATGCCTATTAACGAACACAAATCATCTGCTTTTACTAGGGAAAGAAGAACAGGGTTGAACTGTTTGTGTCTCCTATAAACCGAAAAGCAGGAATTTCGGATGCTCTGCCTTCTGAGGAAGTGCTGCGTTCACTTAATATAAATGTTTTACATCAAAGTTTATCTCAATTTGGAATTATAGAAGTCTCCCCTGAGGTACGTTGTGCATGGAATCTTTCATTTAAAAATGTGTACAGTGACATTGGTAACTCGCCTCCGGGAGGCGTTGAAATGAAAGCTGTTTATTGTGTGTTATTTGTTAATAAAAATCTCCCCAAGGGTCAGAATTCTCTGATCTTCATACTTAATATGTTTGTTCCTTAAGGAAATTTATTTTCACGTCAAAATTCTACTCCGAGTCACTTTCTTCTCCAAATCTTCATGGCCTTGTAACTTATGCTGACTTATCCAATAAATTGTGTTGAAGAAAAGCCATTTGGATATATTTGTCAGCTGATTACTTGAAACTGAGGTGTCCAAAAATACACCCTTCTATCTCTCTTCCTCAACAGGTGTACTCCTCACTGCCTTCATTGTCAAAGTAGTTGCCAGATACTCACCTTTGTCCAGAATCTAGGAATTCATTTGAAATGTGGTTTCTGTTTGTTTTGTTTTGTTTTGCCTTGTTTGGTGAGGAACATAATTTTAAGAACTATGAATATATTCTTCATAGTGTTTTCTAAATTGGCACTTTTTAAATTGCTGCCCCCCCCCCCACCATCTCCACCATCCTCTCCCCTGAACAAATTCAGTCCCTTTTTAACTTCTCCTGCTATGTTCCACTCTAACAAACTTGCCAGAATGGTCATCATCCTGATACATGTAATTAAATTCACAGAATCATGGAATCAGACTCTGCGGGGGAATATGTGAACATTTTATAGATTCAGAAAGTAAGGCCCGTAGAAATTAAGTGACTTCACCAAAGTGATAAAGCAAATGAGATATAGAACGTATACCTCATTTGACACCTAGACATCTCAACTCCTAGTCTCTTCCCTTATGCAGGAAAGCACAATGCTTCTCATTTCAGCAGATATCACCAGTGTGGTATAAAAAACTGTGGTCCACTGAGCTTGAATTCCAAAGCTAACACTTAAAATGTGTGTGACTTTGGGCAAGCGATTTAATCTCTGTGAGATTAAGTCTGTCTTTGGCATAGTATCAGCCTCTCTGAGCCTCAGTTTCCTCATATCCAAAATGGGTATAGTAAAAGAAAGAGGGGGGGAGAGGAGCTGGTATAGTTTAACCTTATAGACTTGAAGTATGAATTAAATTTTAGAAATATATGTGGAAGTCCTGACACAGAGTAGGTACCAAACAAATATAATTTGAATGCAGGACAGCTTTCTTTATTGGCAGAATGAAAATGTATTTCAGCATTGAGCCGTGACTGTAACAACCACCTCAAGCCGGTCTTGCTGCATATAGTTTTGCTCTCCTCCTTGCCCTTTCCTGGCCCTGCGCACCCCAACACACACACAAGGGGTTTTCTCTCTTGTCACACAGAGTGATCGTTCTCAGAGCAAATCCGGCCATGCCCTCCTAATGTCATGATTCTTGATTCTTCTTTGGGTTCCTAAACGCCACAGAATCGGATCTAGATTTCTTAATATGATGTATGGTCCTTTGTGCACTGGGCTTTCTAATTGTTGAGCAGCACCTTCCTAGTTTATGCTTCAGCCCCTCCAAACTCAGAGTATCAGGACACCCCCACACTGTCTCTTCCCTCCACATTTATGCATATGTTAATCCATCTGTATACCTTTCATGTTTCAAGATCATTCTACTATATAGCAAAGCCTTCCCTTGTGTTTCCACAGGTGTGGGCACTTGCTTTGTGTTTTCATTGAGTTTAGTATAAGAAGCCCTTTTCCTGTCTTGGTCTTCAAATATATTTCTATGCAAGAGGCTTCTTGGGGACATGTGCCATTTCACTTTATCTCTTCTCTCCATCCCTTCATTCAGACGCTGGCCTATAATGGACACACAAATAGACAAGCCCTGTGCTAGGTAATGTCCAAAGTTGGACAAATAAATGAATAAACAAACAGGCAAATAAATAAAATATGGTTTTGGCTTTCAGTGAGTTTGTATTTTAGTAGGACAAATAAGATATAAGCACATAAGGGGACTACAGGCTATGGCAACGTTACCACACTGAGCTATAGGAGCTTGAGGAAGAAGAGGTCATTTCCTGCTTCAGAGAGGCCAGGGGGAAAGGTCAATATGAGCTTAAACATCCAAACCCCTCCCCAGCCCTAATTGCATGTGACTCTGAAGGCCTTCCCTGTTGTATCGAACCAAACCCCGTTTCCATATCTAGGCCCCTGACAGACTGCCTTGCACACTATCTTGCCCAGGACAATGCTTGAAAACTTAAAAAGACCGTTGGGTTAATTTATTCTTCTTCCCATAAGCTTTCAGTGAATATTATAAGCATTCTTCCCTGTTGCTTTATTCTGAGTTTAATGCCATTCTGAATGCTTTAAGAGTACAGCAGCTCAGTGAGTCATCCAGATTTGCAAACCAGGAGAAGCTCACCAAACAGAAAACAAAAAACAAAAACAGTTAAAATTAAGTATTCGTTCTCCAACACACCTCAGCCCAGTGACAATGATGAGCTTGACACAGAACTATTAGCCCACAATAGACCACGGGTCTGTACTGTAGTTGAATAATAGAAGCATACTTGATGGTCAAAATGTGATATTTTTTATGACAGTGTGGAAATTTAGAAATCTAGAAAATCAGGGATCTAGAGAATATTACATTACAGGAGACTAGGAAGTAATCACATTTTTATTCCCAAATTATCCCTGGGCTGTACTAACATGTTTATTAACAGGAAAAGAAAGAATATTGGTATTTTGGTCTTTCATCCTTTATCTGAATTAGAGAACATGGTGAAGGCTGTCTCAAAGCATCTATTTCTAAATGTATATGCAATACTTTCAGGGAAGGATGTGTTTTCATCGTTGCCATTTCTTTATTTGCGTGATTTTTTTTTTTAACTGGAAATGACTCTTGGGAAACAAAAATACCAAGTACAGAATAACTTTTGTTTACTCATCTGTTTTCACTTTAATCTAAGTTTTGGGGGAGAAAAAGATATTCTTTCTTTTATATATTTTTATGAGCTAGAACATTGTAAGTACTCCCATATTCTTTTATTATGAGATGCTCATAAAGATAAAACTAGACTTCCTGTTTCCTAGTAAATTAAATCTTAGGGAAATAAAATGAAATTCATTATTTTAGTTTCTATTTTTAAATGTTTTTATAAAATTAATTAAAAATTAATGAATGAATGAATTAAATATCTATTGAAACAGTAAGTTCCACATTGATAATGAAAGAATGATCTCGGATTCGCTGTTATTGTTCAGTTGTGAATTATTCCACATTGTCAGGTCTCGTGTTTCAAAGGAGGAAGTTACCTTCTTTAAATAACAGGCCAATGTGCTGAATGATACTTTCATGGAATATTTAACATAGAGGAAAAAAATATACCAAATAAATATATACCATTTCCATGAGCATAGTGATTGTTCCTTGAAATTAGAACATTAGCCAGCAACCTAAAGGATTATAGTCCTGGCCGTACAGCATAGAGGAGGAATACAATTAAAGATGACATATGTCAGATCATTCAAAACGAACTGTTCACTTCGTGCATAACACAGTAGACGTTTGGCATTTATCTAACAAAATTGTATTGTTGTAGGATACACCTTGTTTATCTGCCTAACTCAATCATAACCAGATAATTAAAATATTCCCACTTCATTCTTATTCTGTGTGCTTCATCTCTTCTAAAAAGATATATCTCCTAAAGCTTCTGTATCATGTCTTCTAGCATTTGGGGTGTCTCCCACCACTTGGGATCAGAATTGGTTTAAAAAAACAAACAAACAATAAGACGACTATCATGCATCAAATTATGAAACAGAATATAGAGAAGCCATGTTATGGATACAGGAAACTGCCAAAACTTCAAGTAATAAACAAAATTCACCGGTTTCTTCCACTGCAACAGAGTTAAAGGGCAAAGCATGTAGGTCGATGTGGCTATGATATAAGACGTCAGATAATACAGTGGCATTGGGTTTGACCTGACTATGGAGCCTCTGAATTATTGAACCCTCAACCCTTTGACAAAATGTAAAGGCATCATATTAACCTTATGCAAAGGTTAGATTGGAGATTCCTGTGAATTATGATCTTTTGACTTGTGGGATCTTAACTACAAACTTTTCCATTTATTACCCTATCCTTATCAATTTTTTAAATCTCTGTACAAATATAGTAGTGCTCAGCAGTAATAGCATGACTCAGAAGGAAATCTATTTACCAAGAAAGTGCAGTGACTTAACTTCTAGGAGTTCACAACATGTGCCTTTCTAACTAGGAGTGGGGGAGCGGGGGTAGGAGGTTAATTCTTCCATCATCACCACTTTGGTTAAAAGAGAAAACAAAACAGATTTGTCTTAAGCAGAAAGGAACATGTTGATATTCTAGGAGGTGTCGAACTATAGCAGGAAAAAAAAAAAAAGAAAGAAAGAAAGCAAGAAATGAACAAATCAGGTTAGGAACACAAAATCTCTTTCCACCCACCTAACCACTGCTTTTTATCCAAATTTTACATGAACTAAAGCTCAGATCCTCATACTTAAATTTGACAAGTTTAGGCTGCCTACTTGAAGGCTTAACTAGTTTGCTCTTATAGCAAGTAATAGTTGTTATTTAGCTGCCTGTAAAAAAACCTTATTTCCATATTTATACTTGGTTTCTACAAGAGGTTTTTTTTTTTTTCTGTTAGTTTCCAACTACGTTGGAAATGCCTCTTTAGCATTATATTAAATATGACCTGGCCACTACTTGAATCCAAGATTTCCTTTTCAGTAAGACACTTAGTTTCTAATCATTTCATCAAGCACATATTTTCAGGTTCTCCCTCAACTTACATATTTTTAAAATATATACAAGTCATTTCTTATATCTGTGAATTCATGTCTTAGAAAGTAGGCAAGATTTTATAGGGAACATACCAGTGGTCAGGCCTGAGGAGTCTCCCTCAAATCATTGTTATAATCACAACTGAACTCCAAGATCCTTTTCATTCTGTTTCGTTCAAGTCCCCAGAAACTTCAGTTCCAGGATAAAAGTTTTTATAAAGTATTTTTTAAGGCAAATATTTCTTTTTGTCTAATTTACAAACTTTAAATGTGTTTTATTTTTTAAAAATCTTGAAAAATAATTTAACAATGATTTCAAAGTTCAGACACCCACAAGGACAGGTTTTTTTGTTCAAGAATTTTCTTTTTTGACACAACTATGTATTTCTCATGATTCTATGGGTTGACTAGGATCAGCTAAGTGGTTCTTCTCTTCCACGAAGTAGGGGCTCAATTCATCCCAGTGGTTACATTAAGCTAGACACTCATCTACCACTGGGACCCAAGATAATTTCTCATTCTCCCCGGCCGCTGTCCATGTGGCTTTTCATCTTTCAATATCTTGTTGCTCAAGGCTTTCTTAATTGTTGGAGGCAATATCCAAGGACAGACAAGTACTCTCACCGAAGGAAATAAAAGGCATATTTCAACAAAATGGAATTTTAGATGAGTGGAAGCGCTTGACTTGATTTAGCAGTTATGTTTTTCAAGCTAAAGTTTCCTTAACTATGAATCTATAAATTTCACTGAATAATAAAATTTAATTGCCATTGAAGATGTGATATTAGGAGATGTGCTTTTTTTAAAGAAGGAGTGGGTAAAATAAAACTAAGACACTCATTCACATTTTATTCATATTATTTATTCTTATTATTTATTCTTATTATTTATTTATTATTTATTCTTCTCCACCCTTTCACCCACATTTAAATAGTAAGCAAAAAAATTTTTAAAGACACGACTAAAACTATTTATCTTAACCTTTTATCACCAAATAATTCTGCACTTTTTGATGCTCCCTGTTGTTTTAAGTAAAATATAATATCCTAAAAATTTGTATGGTGAAGGTGAACTTCAATCAGATTTTGACAAAGTAGACTGCATTCAAAGGGGAAAAAAAGATTTGATGAAAGAGGGGGAAAAAAGGAAGGAAATGATCCCGACATTGTTACTCTGTTTATAAAAGCATCATGAGATTTTGTTTGCACCTGTTTCACTTTTGTTTAGTCAAGAGCTGCATTACAGCACGTAAACCAGGGTGTTGGTGTTGTGGGAGGGGACTTAAAACAGTAAGGAAAGCTTCAGAAACAGTTTCCTCAACACAGAAAAGATCAGAACTCTTTTACTTATGAACTAGGTAATTTCCCAGAGAGACTGTTGGAGGGACATTAAGGAAATCTCAGACCCAGTATGCCATGTCAGGCACACTCGCTCCTGCACAGGAGATAAAATCATTTCTTCACGTATAAGGACGGCCATCCTCGTCTCAGATCAGTTTGAGAAGCAGCTTTGGCAGCGGGGGATGTAGGTGTGTTCTACTACACTGAATGGAGTGAAGCTAAAAATATGTTTAGTGTCTGATAAGAACGCCTCAAACTCTCATTTAACGTCAGACTTTCTGTTTTGCTTTTAAAGAAAAATGTTTTACAAGGGCAGCATGAAGCGGACAAAATCTGGAGCAAAGAAGGATTTTATGCTGTTGTCATTTTTCTCAGCATCTTTGTTATTATAGTAACGTGTTTGATGGTAAGTTTGCTTCTTTATATATCTTATCCCTTACTGAGACACTGCTTAATATTATTGGATACACTGCCATTCAAATGAATGTTGAAAAGACTGGGAACAGGGGCAAGGCTATGATCCTGTTAGATTGGGAATATTTCATATCTGACGGCAGAGCGATAGCTAAGGGAAACCTATGGAATTACGGATTCTGACCTGCAGAATAAGGCTATAATTGCACTGAGGCTTTTAGTAACTTGATCAACCCTGGGAATGAAGCTTTGGAAAGTGATTTACTGAGGTCACTGGAGCCCTCAAAGTCATTAAAGTCTCACGGGAACACTTTGGGCTTACTTTATTTCTTCTTTTATGTCATCTTTATGGAACTCAGGACAAATTTTAAAAAGACATGTCTTAGGGGTAAGCTTATACCTTTAAGAGTCGTTGATTTCCTTATTTATTTTTAAAGGGCTTAGACAGTCTTCTCTGAAATTCTAGGCATTAAAAGAGATGATCATAGGCTCAAAGGCTAGATATTCACTGTAAACTAATTTTTAAGTGAATGAATAAAAAAGTATAAAAGTATGCACTGCAAATAGCTCTGTAAATTACAAATTATAAATGTGTACCCTTTAAAAGTACATTTCTAATTAAGGAAAAAAGGAACCCAAAGTAAACCCACTAAACTAGGCTGTTCTATTTGGTATTGAGGGGGTTAACAGGTACTTTTCAAATACATTGATAAGATTTTCCTATTATTTCAAAAATTCTGTGATGTACCTTAAAATATTTGACATTTACAAAGGGGTTTTAACATTTTTTCCTTTGTGCCATGTTCTTTTTAATTTTGTACATTTTCAAAAATATTCCTTCTTTAGCTTTTAAATGCCCACCAAAAGACATCACACTACATACTGTTCAACCAACAGTATTGCTAAGTGTCTTAGTGGTTTTTGTTCATTTATGTCTGCCTGCTGGGGAAGGGTTTATGTTTGAAAGCTTAGGGCTTAGTTGGGAAAGACAAAGGCTGAGTAGGTCTAAACTTGAAGGATATAAAACAATTAAGGCCGTGAATAAGGTGATGATGGGCATATTTCCTCAAGTGTCTAAATATAGGAAGTAGTAAGGACACCCTAAAACTTCCATCACCGTGAATTCAGAGGTATCTGTCTCCAATGGGCAGACATTTAGAAAGATTTCTAAAAATTGTGACCAGTAAACAAAAGAATAACTTAAGCATTGAGTAAGAAATTTGATTTTTATGTGTTAAATGGTGGAGATTGAGGGTGAAATTTTTAATGAGACAAAGTTGGAGGTTTTAGGGGAATTGTGGCCGAGACCTCTGGGCATTTTTTAGTATTTTAGAAGGTCTCTTTTTTTGTAACAGTTAATAGCACTTTAACATATGCAGTTCTTCTTTTCCTTAATCTGGGAAAACCTGAGTGCTTTTTTCTCTCTTGTCAGTCACAGTTAGAGTGTTTTTCTGCTTCACAGATGAAAAGATGAGAGGAAGAGGAGAATACAAAGAGGTGGAGAGTGCTAAAAATAGAGATTGCTCCGGGTGGATGGATAAGGTTGGGCAGAGCAAAGGCGAGGATGGAAAGAGGGAAGTGGGAAAGCAGATTTTTGAGCAGTCTCTGAGTCCAGAAGTCCTCCCTAGAGGGCAGAGGGAGGCAGAGCAGAGCCTGCTCTTACCACGTAGGAGATGGTCCAGGCTCTGCATCTCTAACTCAGGGAGCATCCAGCGTGACTGGATAAATCCCTAACATGACATATTGGTCTCATGAAACAAAAGGACCTGTGGTGGCCACACTCTCAACCCCTTGGAGCCAGAAAATAGCTCTTCTTTTCCCAGTTTCTGCCAAGTACCAACGTAAAAGTCAGAAACCTAGGTAAGTCTGCTCCAAAATTACTAAACAAACTGAGAAAGGAATGTTTCCAAAGTATAGGTGATTGCTGTCCACTGGCTAGGCAGGTAGATGCATCCCTTCAGTCTACAGATTCCTGCAGAGGATACAGTGCGGACCTGTGGTTGGCACTGTGGCCAAAGGAGAGAACAAGACAAATAAGGTCCCTCTTCCTGTGGGACCTATACTCTAGAGGGGGACACAGAGAATAATTACGTTAGTATTCTTTTTTTAACAAATAGTGAGCATACCATATGATTCCAAGTATTTGACCTTCTGGAAAAGGCAAAACTTTAGAGACCGTGTAAAGATCGGTGGTTGCCAGAGGTGCAGGGAAGGAGATGAAGAGGTGGAGCACAGCAGATGTTTAGGGCAGTGAGACTATGCTGTACGATACTGTGCTGGTGAATACATGCGTCATGAATTTGTTAAAACCCATAGAATGTACAACACAAAGAGCGAGAACCCTGTACTCTCTGCTGTTTTGTGTAAACCTACAACTGATCTTAAAAAATGAAGTCTATTCATTTTTTTAAAAATAATCATATATTGTTCAGTGCTGTGAAGAGATACCATAGTACTGAGTGAGCAGAACAGAACCCTTGGAGACTTCCAAGATATGTGACAATGTGGGGAGAGGGCCTCCCAGGCAGAGGATGGAGCAGTCGAGGTGGGAATAAGCCAGCCTCTCTGGGCTCAACAATAAGGGTGGAGGCTGAAAGTTTTAAGCAGAGCCTTGATGTGATTTGATATGTGTATTTACAAGAGTAGGTGTTCTTCTGGTGAAGAATGGTTGGGAACAGAATGTGAGGTCAAGTGTGGGAGCCGTAGGACTCTTCTGGAACCATTGTGCTAACCTGATGACGAAGATGATGATGGCCCAGAGCAGGGATGGTGGTGGAGATGGAGAGAAGTGAACGGTTGGGATTTATTTGTAAATGGAAATGACAGGATTTGCTGTGTACTGATTCTCAGGGAGAAGAAAAGAAAGAAATTAAGGTTGACTCTTCATTTATTTGCTTGAGTACCTGGTTGGTAGAGCCCCCATTTCTTGGGCAAGGAACACATTGGAGGTGGGGTAGTGAGAGAAGCAACACTTTGCATGTGTGTTCCAGTTGCTCTTGAATAAATGAAAGAAATAGAATGATATATTTCAAATACAATCTTAAATTTTAGTGATAAAAGGTTGGTTTGAAAAGTAACAGAGGAGAGGTGCCTAGAGGAGAGGAGGCTTAGTTGGCTAAGCATCTGACTCTTGATTTCAGCTCAAGTCATGATCTCACAGTTCTTGGGATCCAGCATCTTCGGGCTCTGTGCTAACTGCACAGAACCTGCTTGGGATTCTCTCTCTCCCTCTCTCTTTCTGCCGTTCCCCTGCTCGCTCTCTCTCTCTCTCTCTCTCACTCACACACACACACACATACACTGTCTCTCTCAAAATAAATAAATGAACTTTAAAAGACAAAAAGGAAAAAAGTAATGGAGGAACCAGCAGTATACAGGAAGGAATTAATATTGATAGAAAAATTCTGGGGCCCCTGAGTGGCTTAGTCAGTAAAGCATCCAACTCAATTTGGGCTCAGGTCATGATATAATGATTCGTGAGTTGGAGCCCCACGTTGGGCTCCATGCTGACAGTACAGAGCCTGACAGGGATTCTTTCTCTCCCTCTCTCTTTGCCCCTGCCCACTCTCTCTGTATCCTTCAAAATAAATAAATTTTAAAAGAAAAATAATTCTACCTAGTAGATAGGATTTACATGAATTTAAGTTTATCTGATGCAACTATACCACTGACATGTCAACGGTTCACTTTTAGGGACTTATCAAATGTGATTTACTAAAATAAGCTTATCTTTGTTCAACTGCTTTTGATAATGACCTTGATTTAAAGTAAGTTTCTTACTTGGCTCTTTCAGTAATAGTTGTGCTATCACTTGCAATTTTCAAACACATAACATTCTGATTCTGTTTCCCATGATTTTGTTGATTCTATGCAAAGGAAAAGATACAATACAGAATTTTCTCTCTGGCAATAATTATATTATGAGAGATCAAATACCATTGTTTCGATCCGGCCTTCCTACATACCACAGAAACAAAAGGCATATGGTTTTATTATGAAATTTTATAGGTAAATTGCTGTAATGGTGGATTATGTGTGCTATGTAACAATAACATAAGGCTTGGCAAAATTTTTGAAATGTGGCATATTGTTTACTTTCCTTAAAGTAAAAAAAAAAAATTATATTGCCAGGCATAAAATTAGACATGCATGACATTTTCAAATGTGTGGCTTATTTAGCACCTCTCAAATGTGAATGTGGAGTGGGTGGAGCGACAAATAGACAAATACGATTTTCCAAGAAAAGATGTGTGGGCAATTTCCAATCCATTCAGTCTGTTTTAGGTGGGGAAATTTATTACTAAGAAGAATTCGTTATTAAACTTTAATAAACAATGGAAAGAACACCATTTATCATCAAAATTAAGCCTTCAAATATACTTAGAGGCTTATTATGAAGTGCAAAGGCATTTATGAAATGTAGGTAGAGATATCTACAAGCCAGATTGCTTCTGAAAAGCCATGTTAGAAAATACAGGAAAATAGCTCTTTGGGTCAACAAAAGTTTTAACAAACTTCAAAAGTTTCAACAAAAAGAGCCATCCATAAGCCATGTAAGAGTTTTTCTAGTCATGATCTTGGTTGAGACAAGCAAGTTGTATGTCAGATCACCTGCTATAGCCTGAGCACCATGCAGTGAAAACATGTCACAGGTGGACATATATAGCTACCCTCTTCTAATTGGTCATATATAATCACTAGGGACTGGGGGAAATGGGAACAGATTTCTAGCTGGAATGATCTGTTTACAGAACCTTTTCTGTAAAATATACTGTTTACAGAGTAGGCATGTGCCTTGAAATAATTTGTAATTTTCCTCTGTATTAATAAAAATTATTTAGTTCTTAAGTATTAAGAATGTAACCCTCTATTAATAAAAATAATAACAATAGTAATATTTAATGTCTTCCCTTTATTGCACACTTACTGGTACAAAGCTGGCACTAAGTTTACTGTGTGGTAGTAAACACTTAATGTATTTTTTTTCTAAAT